ATCTTTATCGTTTTGGACGCCATTAAGAAAAAAATGCTCTTCTTGTTTTATCCTGTTCATTTTGTGTTTAAATGCTAAAAAAAACATTTAGGTGTAATTTTGGGGGGCCGGGAACCAATTAATTGGTTTTCCATTCTTCTTTATGGGAAAAATTCGATCAGAACTCGAACTTTTTAGGGTTCTATCCGGAGTCCAGAATGGATTAAGTTCGAGAACCGAGGTACCACTCTGTGTGTGTGTGTGTGTGTGTATGTGTATATATATATATATATATGGTCTTTTGCTGAAATAGAAGAACACCTCAGGCTTTTGCCGTTTAACAGTAACACTGCAGAGCATTTCCCGGAGTTCCCTATATAAAATAAGAACAGAACATAAGAACTATACAAACGAGAGGAGGCCATTCGGCCCATCGATAACATGCATAACCTACATCGTTATATTGGCAGGTTTTAGAGTGGCTGGGAACTGCTAGGTACAGACATATCTGGAATGACCTTGCTAATTTACGTGAGACAGATCACCTGACTTTCCAAATGCAAACTGTATGTTTTGATAATGTTTCTCTTAGACAAATACTCTTTAAACATCCAATAATTAATGTTACCCTTTCTTGTCCATTAGTGTCCAGCATGTCTGCCTCTATCTGTTACTTCTTCTATCTATATTTCTACCCATGCTATTACTGTTATTATTATTACCTATGCTATTACTTTTTACTGTTACATTATAGAACTTTAAATTCTCTTCTATGTAAATATCTTCTGAAGGTTGCTAAAGTGAAGGTATCGTCAGGTCATGGTATGTTTGTATGTACTCATGATATGTGTACTGAAAGATAGTACATGTAAGAGGGGATAGTTTTCAGGCCAAGGAATACTTTTTATTTGCTTAATGTGAGTCATTGTTCTGTTAATATTTCAGAATCCCACTGACAAATAATTGGGAAGTCTGACAGTTTGCACAAAATGTGTCTTATTACATAGAGTGTAACTGAAGCACCAACAAAACACTCATTCTTCACAAAGCACTGCTCAAGATTTCCCTACCACAAACAAAGTGGAATTACTTCTTTTTATTGCAGCTGAGTAAATGTTACCCATAATTAGGCAAAACAGTTGTGACTCGCAGGAAAGTAACACACTCATCCAAATCAAACGTCTTCGCTCTGGTTGAGGCCTGATTACACAATGATGCAGTGCTGAATGATTGTGTTCCTAAGGCAAGAGAGTGTGAATACAGTGGAGAGAGTCTCTGTAGCCATTATATTCACTACATGATGCATTTGTTTTTTTCCTGGCTAAAGTTTCAAGGCTTGTAAAAACGAATAAGTAGTTGATTGTTTCCCATGAGCTGTTTTGAAGCTCCCCCACAAAACCACGTAAGGGGGCGCAAGCCTACCAGTACAACATTATTCATAATTTATACCATTTTTTATCAATAATATGTATGCCTTTTACGTCTACCTTTGCTGGCCTCACCTGCTACACTACAGCCCAGCAGTGGTGGCAGAGGGCAGGATGCAGCCCCACCACGGACGGCAATAATGTATAACACGGTTAACCCTGACTCTAGCTCTTTTTCCATCGCAAAAGGCCAATTCCCCAGACTTCGAAAGCACTGGATTCAGAGGTTGAGTGGTAGCAGGAGTTTGGCCGTTTGCTAAAAGAACAACAAAAACAATGAGATGTTTTTTTTTTATCTCTTTTGTTGGTTTTTACACAAGCAAGGTGTAATTGAGCTGAAACAAAATCATCCCTATGTCAATGAAAAATCCCCCCCCAATACACACACACACACACACACACACACACAGGTTTGTAATTATATATTTATGGGGACTCTCCATTCATTTATATGGGAAAAACTCTAATCCCAACATGACGACCTTTACCCCTACCCAGCCCTAACCTTAATCATAAGTAACCAAACAAAATACGAGACTTTTGGCATTTTTACTATTTTGATTGCATTCACTGATTTTTGTGGGGACCTGAAAAATGGTCCCCACAATGTCAAAATTTGTGACAAGAAAGGTGAAGTACACGTGGGGGACATATGTGGGGGACATATCCAAGGTGAAGTTACATTGTGGGGGACATATCCAACAGTTTCTCATGAATCGGAAGATGACATCAAGTGACCTTCAAAAGGAACAGGAAACATTAAGTGTAGCTGTGAAGTTCACTGCTAGGACAGTTCTAGGCTCCTAGAAGCAGGACTGAAGACCCATAAAGCAAGGAAGAAGCCCTTAATGAAAGAAACGGAAGAAACCGCAGTTTGCAGAAAAATTATATTACATACAGATGCACACCCATAAATTGAGAAATGAGTCAAACAAAATGTTGTCATGGTTTCTTATTTTTTTCCAGGGCTGTGTGTATGAGTGTGTGTAAGTGTAGTGTAGTATAGTGTAGTGTAGTGTAGAGAGAGAGAAGCTCGAAGCTTTGCGGTATTAATAATATTTACTCAGAAATAAAGAGAAGCCACCATCTTCTGGCCAGGAGGCAAGAGTAAGGATGGGGAAGTGAAAGGGGCAGAGTGCGTATCACAGCCAGACTCATCAGGGTACGCGGGACCTTTGTGCTACTGAGACTGTCTCTCAACATCGGTCATGGAGGCAGAAACTTTGGATCTCCAGGAATCACGTGGCTGCCTGGAAGAAGGAGATAGGGGAGCCGCAGGAGCTTGTCCTGTGTATGTTTGGGTGAGTGTGTGTGTACAAAAGACTGGTAATGTGAAGACTGACTTATTACTCTGCCAATACCACTTAAAACCTCATTGTTCTCCTGGGGGACGGGAATTAAAATTTTATTTTGTACGTGTGCATGAACATGTCATGGACATTTGTTGAATGTCCTGTTGGCTGTTTTTTGTAAGACCCAGAACACCGCAGGAAAATGTGGGAGAGACCTGAGTGACCGACACACATACAGGCACTGCGGATGGCACCTCCCCCTTACGAAGCTGAAAGCCTGCTGCACCAAAGGCCTGCCCGCCGGGCTCTGAATAAGATGCCCCCCAGGAAAGATGACGCCCCTATTAGTGTGACAACTCTGAATAGCCGTCGCATTTCAAAGACTTGTCTCACAGCAATATGCACGTGCCACGCTGAAAAACCGCATTACGGAGCATGATGAAATCATAGTTCCGGTCGTCTTACCGTAGAACACAGGAATAAAGTCCGACATCCTGTAATTCCGTGGGTCGAAACCATATGGCGTCCTCCTCCTTACTCATGCGCAGGCCATCGAACGAGATGGGTTCCTCAAAGTCCCCGTGGCCTGTGCTTTTATACCACATCAGGCTGAGTCCCGCGCTCTGTGCGTGAGTGTAGTTTGCACGGATGTATCCGTAAAACAGGGCACACTTAATCCGCACCGGCTCCCCAAGGAGCACTTTGTACTTCAGGTAGTCGACCGACCAGTCCGTGCAGCCGTCCACTGAAATGACAGACAGACAGAACAAAGGGAATCAGAACACTTAAACGCTTAAAACACTTTGCAGCACAGCCATAAAAGCTCCATTATGTGGCACGAATCTGTGCTGTACAAGCATTTGGGCTGCATTGTCACTAACACGAGGGGCAGAAAAGAAAACATGCATTACCCTCAAAGTTCTTGTTGAAGCCTTGTTACCATAGAAACACCATTATGCACTTACACTTAAAGGATGTTGTTAATGAGGTTTCACACATTTTATGCCAGATGTAATATCGGAAAATTATGCAACACTTTACTTTCTTTTTAGTTTCTTCTTCATCTCATGAAGACCTTTTGTGGAGAAAACTTAACTTCCTGAATCATGACTCACTACTGAATCGATATTTAAACAGTTGAGATACATGAATAGAGAGAGAGAGAGAAAAAAAGACAGAGACTAAACAGACCAACATCTCTTTAGTTATTCCCTTTTAATACCAGTCTTTTATTTAGAAATACGAAAAAAAAAAAATTCACAAGACTCGGAATTATATGTGAGTACAAGTTGTGCAGAAACTTCACTGCTGAGATTTCAGCTTCTGTTTTTGGGAATCCTACCTTACACATCAGCAAAAAATGTGCTCTTCTGTGAAACTATGTTTTAGTTCTTATTATTTGTTAACTAAGATTAGAAAGTTTTGTTTAATTGCTGTATTTCAAGTGCCATTTCACATTGTGAGTATATCAATAGGCCATACCACTTTTGCGTTCAAGGTGTCCTTTTAAAAAAAATGCATGGAGACAATATTGAGGTCAGACACATTAATCTGCTTAATTGTTGTGGTGCTTCACAACTTTTAGCTCAAGGCTGGCATTCATTGTTCAGCTCTCAATGAACCGGAGAAACAACTGAAAATACATCTAAGGCATAAGCAGAACATAATCATACCTTATAGTTGAATTCTCCATGACAAAAATCAATGTTCAGTCGATGTTTTATTACAGTAATGTTCATCGGCCAAAACAGAACCCCCCAAAGCAGAACACGATCATAATTAATATTCATTATAATGTTGAAATATACCTTGAATAAAATACTGCAGTTTCCTGCATTCCTGTATTATGTCAGAAGTGCATTGATTTCAGGATGAGAGCGAAACGGTGAAGCACGAGTCCAGTTGAGCCGCTGCTCTAGCTGTGACCCAGCGAGCACATGGTTCTGTCCAGGAGAGACGCCTCTGGGTTCTGGAGGACACTGTTACTAGGTCACGGCACGGTTCACCAAGAGATCTGCGTGAAAAAGGAGCCTAGAGCAGGGCAAGCTGCAATCCTGGGAGATGTGTCTCTGCTCCATTAAGTAGCCCGGCCGGGGAGCGGGGAGACGCACATCTGCACACACGCGCCAAGCCCAACACAAACACCCCCGCGGCCCTACAATCTCCTCTCAACGTCGCCGCATCTTCGCAACACAAAAAGGCTACGATAAACACTTCATTTTATGGGATCATTTGCCATACCGTATCATTCCAGCCATGCAAGCTCTGCTTAAAAAATATCTGAAAAACAACCAGGCATCTCACTTTAAATGTTATTACATTTGCTCATTCACACTCATACGATCATTCAGTAATAGAGTCGAAGGAGCGTTTATCGTGTATTATTGCTGGCTTTCTGTACGGACCACCATCCCCCCCACAAAGGATGAGGTTCAGCTAGCAGCGGAAGCACAATGCAGATTCTCTCCACCCTTTCACACATCCATCAAGGGAGCTGTCACCGGGAGGCCAGATTCCCATTACCTCATAAATACAGAAAACGCCTGAATTATTCAACAGCATAATAATATTCTATTTGTATTAACATCCCTGACTGTGTGGACCACGGAAATGTCCTGCGTAACATGGGGCATGTTAGAAAGCAGAGGAGAAAGCCCCCCAGGCCCACGCTGGTATCCCAACGGCACCAACCCCCCTTCTCTTTCCAGGAAAAGAGACCCAACCGTAACGTCGCGGCCTAAACTCTGTTCTTCTCTGCTGCTGCCGGAAGGTTCTACAGCAGGATTTGAGGACATAGGGGAGAAAACCTGCAAGGGGGGGCAGGAAGATAGGGGGTGTCTGGGAGCGCTGGAAGTGAGTCCCCCTCCCGGCATGTCACAGGAGCTGGAAGGGAAATTCCAATACAGAGACGGGGGCTCCAGGCAATCTCACGTTTTTTTTAGCGGTGGATTTTGTGGGATTGGCTGCAGGAAATAATGAGAGGGGTGAGGATGCTGAGGGAATCACCACGCGCCGCCGATCCCAGAACAATAATGCGGGAATGAGATCGGCCGTACGGCCGGCATCCGCAGCTCGCTACGAGATCCCGGGCAGCTGGGCTGTAAGGCACAGGAGTGCTGGGACTGGCATAAATGAAGATTAAGTGGCGCGGGATAAAGATGGAGGCAGGCTTAGGAGGCCCGGAGAAGGCTGGGGAGCTGATGGGCTTCTCAAGTTATTAGGGTTTTTTTTTTTTTGGGGGGGGGGGCATTTTTTATGTCATTTTGGGATACGCTATATAAAGCAATACATGCGGCAGCCTCTTTTTAATCTTTATATGCTTAATGCGTATTTTATTTGCGGTATAAAGGTTAAAATGCACAGTAACGGCGCAAATGCACTCATAGTAAGTGGCCATTTCTGTTGTTATGAATATGCATACACTCCTGGTATGTCAAGTATCACATTTCTGATGGATCTGTCAAAAGATCAATTAAATTAGGAACAGGCAGCTGCCTAAACAGCCATTTCCAGCCACACCCCCTACTTCCTTCTTACCATGTATACTGAATGTGGACAGTTTTCACTCTGTCTGATATACTGCTAAACCTGTTTTCATTGTCATGTGATATACTTCCATGTCCCACTATAGCTGGTGTGTGGCCTGTCACTGTCTTGCACTGTGATTCACAGCATCACTTTCACTGTAACTGCACTGGAGCACTGGACTTCCAGTTTCTCTAAGGTAAGATAAGATGCAAGATCTTCCCAACTCATAATGACTAGTAGGTTTAGTTAAATAGTATGGCATCTTGGTTGTTGGGCTGTAGCTGATTTTGCTTATATACATAAATAAAACATAAATATAAATAGTTATAATGATAATTATATTGGTGTTAGACGGTCACACTGCTTATTTACTCTCAGGTGGGATGAATGGCGAGAGGAACGCTGAGGAAGGATAGGAGGAGGCATACAGCAGAGTGTGGGGAGGAACAAACACAAATACGATGGCTTCAGTGTCAGCACAGGGAATATACACAGGGAACCTTAAGCAGCATCAAACTCTGCAAACGGCTACAGCAGGCTGAGGTCTGGGGAATCGGCATGTTAGTGAGTGGTAATAACACACAGATGAATTAAATGAATGCGCCCCCCCATGAATTAATTACTTTACAGGCTCTAGGAGAACAAACTGAATGCTGTTACAGAAACTTCTTACGATTACATTGACATTTCTAAATACTAGACGGTAGTTCCTTTTTCTCCCTCATTTCCATGGTTACGAAAGGTTAACCATGCTAATCAAGCATCGATTAATTAAGCCCCATTTTGTGTACAGTAATATCTTGACAGCTGTGTGGCAGTCTGTAACTAAACTTATCACTCGTGGGGATCTCTCAGTGTAATTATAACCCGCAATTATCTGCACAGGCAATTTCATGGGAGGTATTGTCCCTATACTGTTGTCCCCTCTGATACACAGATTTGGTTGGGAGCCAGAAATGATTTTTGTGGTTTAACTATAAATCGAAATTAAATATTCTAATGTACTAAACAGTTTTATGATCTAAGAATGCACACACATATACAGGTTGCACATACATGGACAGAGCTTTGAAAAAAATAATTAAATCAGCACCGTAAAACATCACAGCTTCATAGCAACCAAAATGCAATTAGCTTATCAGTGGATGGAGTCGACACTGTTACTACAGTGACTGGTTATGCTAAATGTCAAAGAACTTCCCCGGTCAGCATATTGAAAATCCATTTTGCTGCAAATGCCGATTTATTATTATTATTATTTTTTTTTTTTTGAGAGAGAGAAATGCTTATTTCAAGAGGAAGTACTTTATCCAGTACACATTATTCAATTTCAAAACCTCATTTAATCCAGCAAAGAAATTGATCAAAGTAAAAGTTCTGAAAAATCCTTTTGTGCTGCAGTCAAAGCTCAATTATTTCTGAAACTGATTTTATTTATTAAACACATTGCCACTTGTTTGTTCTCCTCCTTAACTTCTCTGCGCTGCACAACATTTTACTATAAATACATCTGTTTGGTCATAGTCCCCAGTACAAATACTTGATTTTTGCCATCAAAAAAAAAAAACAAGCTTTCATGTCACTGATGTCATGTACATATTGGTTGTGCGGTCCCAAGGTGACGCAAGATGACAAGATTAAGAGAAAAGCAGAGTGAGAGGGAAAGAGAGAGTGATTGAGAGAGGGAGAGAGCAAGAGAGACATTGAGAGATGGAGAGGGTGGAAGGAGACAGAGGGGGGAGGTGACTCCATTGAGCCACATTAGGAAGGGCTCTTTTCCCACAGTCACACCGGCAAGAGACACACACACACACACACACACACAACCTCGCGGCTTCATTCATGTCAATCGGAGGGTGAATCTGTCTTACTCTTCTACAGCTAGATAACTCCACATGCACCATGACTCCTATCCGCCATCATAACAAAGGTTTTTCTTAGGTGAATCTCAGAACACAACATGACAATAACTGTCTTCGTGTGACAAACTATGGATCAAATACCATCCATAAATCCAAGATGGCAGCTAGGGCTGGTGCCAGATCGTGCTGCACCTGTCATGCAATGTGTATCACGTATGACTGAGCACACATCTCAAATTCCCTGTACGTGCAAATGTACCTGTCCATTAAAATGCTGCCTGTTTATCCATATAACGCACATCACCATTAACCAGGAAAGCATTACATTAGTGCACAGCATTAAAACAGACTGAAA